ATATATATATATATATATATATATATATATATATATATATATATATATCGGTCGGCCCATTACGCCCATTAGAAATCTATTTTATGCCTTATTGTTTATCCGAACTATAAGAATGAGGTCATCAGCACACGACGCTAGCGCCGATTTAAAGGAAGTTTAATTTGGCCTATATGTTCCGACATACTGAAGGAAATTTCTCCACGATGTCGACAACTGCAGTCTTTTGCCATTACGAATAGCCTCTGATTCCTCAGTGTTGTGTGGTTTCTGTATTTTATCTTATTCCTGGTGGATGGAGGGTGATTTTTGTCGGATATTTTGCAGGTATATTTTCAAAATAAAGCACATCTCACTCTCATATTGGGGATCTTTGCTTATTCTAAGATAAACCTACCGAAGTGTCATTTTAAGTTCAAAATATCATGCGAGGCTAATCTAACAGTGCCGAATATTACTAGAATAGCTATAAATATTAGATTCCCTGAACTACGTGCGACTTGAAGCGTCAGAGGCCACACAAATGGAAACAATTCACTTGGCGTTATCCTGAAAGATTAACGGGGCCTGAGTTAGCCGCAAATTTTCAAATTTGATCTCTTGTGGCGATGTTGGCAAAACTACTTTACTCAATTCCGGGAAAATCATTGTCGATAAGGGATTAATGACTAGAGCTGTGTACAAATAAGGTGCACACTCGAAGAGATTTCGTTCTGCGCCGAGTACTGAGAGGAGCCCATATAAATTTTCGTGCTTTAACATGTTAGGAAATAGCTATGTTAGCAAGAGCAATTAAGTTTTAGTCGGAAAATAACCTTCACTGGGGGGAACCTCGGTTTCCAGACTAAAAAGTGTTCTTACTAACGCAGTTATACACTTCAGACCACCAGAGGAGAAACGTGTGATCATAATGCTGAATGTGGACCAGACGTTCGTGGATAAACAAAGATCAAAAAGTCTTAAAAGGGTTAAAATACACACAACTAAGCTAGTACGAGGTCAAGGCTACATGCTTCACCAGACAGGCTTGCCATTTGGCATTGCCAATAAGTCGAGTACTATTTTCGAAGTAATAATTACTACTTGTAACAACTGAGTAGACGTTTACGCTTACTCTTTTCTGCTATTCAACGGTTGCCCACTTTTCGTATTGAATTATATAAACGACCTCTTTTTAAATGTTTATGCTATATCGACACACTTCTTATGTAGTGTGTTATTAATAGGGAGCTCAAAGGCGTTTGCCTATCTTTCTCTTACTAAAACTGAACTGAATTTGTTGCAACTCCAATTGTGTGGCGCCCAGTGGGACCGCATTCCGTAAAGGCTTTCTTAAAATTAAGGCGGGCCTTGAGTTTGGAGAACAAGCAGTGGCGAAAAATACAGTAATAATACGTTCACGCGTTACTGTGAACCAAATAGGCCAAACGTTTACCAATAAAAAGGTTACAATCCATGGCATATATCGTCTAAAATCGAGTTAGGCTTAATCCGTTGTAAGAACCGCATAGGACCCGTTCCTGCTTTAATGCGAGAGAGAGGAATCCTTGTAGAGAACACGGGGTTGAGGGATACACGTAGATCTGGTCAAATACACTGATCCACAGATCCGAAAAGTTCAGTTCACATTTTCTTCTTCATTCGTTTTTTTTTGGTTTTTACCCGTCTTTGGCACAATTCACACTTTCATGTCTAGCCATGCGATCTTCTGCCTGTGCACACACCCTCTGTACCGTTCTCGCCTTTTTGTCAGGTAATTTAGTATAAATTGTTAATTTTTCTATCAGTGTCTACGTAGTCTGCTTCAATAAACTTTTGAAAGACGAAAATGCCTGAAGTTGGATACGGCTAAAATTTCGGTTTGAATAATGGACACTTTAGATTCAGAATCTCAAGATAACAGTCTAGTATATGGATAAGGAAGAAGGATTGTCGAGCGTCGGATCAATTTGTTTATTATTCTGAGCTTTCAAACTCTTACAGGAGTCAATCGTCCTTACATGATCCCTGTAAGAGTTCAAAAGCTCAGGATAATAAACAAATTGATCCGGCGCTCGACAATCCTTCTTCAGTATCCATGAAAATACCTGGAATGCGACCATTTTCATTCATTCGTAGTTTATTATATGGAGCACCAAGGAAACCAAACCCTCAGAATTCTGTAATACGGGAACGGTGATAATAGGTGTTATACGGGTGGGGCACTAAGGGGGTGCAAGGGAGGAAAGAAAAGGACAACAGTAGCTTATGTAGGCCCACTCATTAATACTTACTTTCTTGTACTTGTTACGGCTGTGATCATGCCTGATCTAGCCGGCCTCAATGA